ATGTGTGATTCTCCTGTTCAAATTAATGAAACAAGTCAATCTGTTACCTCCAAGTTTAAAAGATCTACAGTTTGGCAAGTTTCTCAAGAATGGTAAGTAATTTTTTTTTTTTCTTTCTTTTTTTCTTAGTTTCACTGTTATGGCACTCATCATCTAGTATAGTTCAGTTGATCATATAAGCATGCTCGGAATCTACAAAAAATAATCTTAAACGCAACAGCAGATCAAAATTTAGGATTACAATTCGTACCGTTTAAAATTTAATTGCCGAGTTAGAGAAGTTTAATATTATACAGCAGAACCTAATCTTCGATGAATCATATTATCTACAATATTTATCAGGTTGACTAATTTTGACTTGGTTTGAAATTCAGGTTTGCTTTTGCTAGCAAGAGTAATAGCCGTTACAACTTGCGTGACCTTAGCTGCCTCAATGGCAGCAAGGCTTGGCCCCACTCCAATGGCCGCCTTTCAGATATGCTTACAAGTCTGGCTTTTGTCTTCCCTACTTGCTGATGGCTTGGCAGTTGCTGGCCAGGTAATTAATATAAACATATCTCTAATAATTAATGTGCTGAAAGTTTATAATGTGCTCATATTTTTATTTAGTAGAGAAATTATGACCTTGTTTTAAATTGTAATTTTTTTTTTTTTTTGTAGGCGATTCTTGCTTGCGCTTTTGCAGAGAAAGACTATCAGAAAGCAGCGTCTGCTGCCGCTCGAGTGCTTCAGGTACTTTATATTTTCATCCAAATGCCATCAATGCCCAAAAAACAGAGTAATTTTAACATAACCATTTTTATCATAAAGAAAAGTGATAAATTATGTCAAAATAGATTATGTTTAATATTTTTTGAGTAGATATAAACAATCCTTGGGCCTGAAGCTACATATATTTTTTGAAGATGGGATTCGTTCTAGGGCTTGGGCTTGCGGTATTTGTTGGACTTGGGCTTCAGTTCGGGTCCGGAATATTTACCAGTGATCGAAATGTTATTCACGTGATTGCCATTGGAATTCCGGTAAAACTCAAACTTTACCCTAAAAATTGTCACTGTAAATTATAAAACACTGATCTTTTTGGTTTATATTTTTAACTTTTTTTTTGTTTTTTCGGCCAGTTTGTAGCAGCTACGCAACCTATAAACTCATTGGCATTTGTGTTTGATGGAGTTAATTTTGGAGCATCTGACTTTGCATATACTGCATATTCCATGGTAATTATATATGTAGATACTAATTTTAAGGCAATGTCATTTATTATTGTAATTATTTATTTATTTATTTTTATTCCAAATTTTCAGGTTCTTGTGTCCATTGTAAGCATTGGATCCTTGTTTTTTCTGTCTAAAAGTAATGGTTTTGTTGGTATATGGCTTGCTTTGACCATTTACATGGGCTTGAGGACATTTGCTGGCTTATGGAGGTAATTATTAGTATTAGTTTTTCCTCGTTAATTTATTAAATCATTAACTTGCATAAACCATAACTAGTACGTAACCCGTGCGATGCACGGGAAGTAAAATTTGGAAGAATAATATAACCTCACGTGCATTAGGATCGAAATTGAAATTTTTAAAATACATAGGAACATTGTTGAATCATAAAAAGTTCGGTAACAATAATATATTATTAAAAATCTCCTTGTACACAACATTATGAGTTTGATTATTTGGTAACTCCTCATTATCACAAACTAATATTTTCAAAAGAGACAAATCCTAAAAATCAAACTAATATTTTTGGTGAACAAACTAATATTTTAGGATTGGTGAACAAACTAATATTTTAGGATTGGTTATATGAATAAGGCTACCTATTTTTGGTGTTCTTTTCATTCATTTTCATTCAAACAATCCGATGACTTGTATAATGAAATCCGAATCTTAAGCCGAAATATTTTTTTTTTTTTTAAAAAAAAAGAGTTTTTAAAAATTGAAAAGTCAAGCAATCAGTTCAGACTAATTAAAGATCAAAGAATATCCGCTACTTGAAATAAAGACGTGTGCTATCATTAACCAAATATCCGGTTATTGATATAGAGTGGTTACAAAAAAATAGAACGCGATAAGGACGCTTCATGAAAATATCAATGAGATAATGTCATAACAGATCGCTATACATTTTAACTATAAAAGCTCAGATGATTTATGATAATTATATCGTAATTAATGAATTAATTAGATGTGTGAATATGGAACCAAGGTCGAAAAGATTGAAAAAATCATAATTAATGAGAAGTGTAAAAAGGACATAATTAATGAGAAGTGTGAAAAAGACATAATTAATGAAAAGTGTGAAAATGACATAATTAATGAGAAGTGTGAAAAGGACAAAAACTTACCAGTTTTGAAAAATATTTAATGCAAATCCGACATTGACCATAATTTGACCTACTATTTTGGATAAATGTTAATTCTTATTATATAAGTATAGATTAGAACTGCTGCAAATAATTTGGAAAATAAAAAAAAAAATATGAGTATGTATAATTTATTAAAAGAAAATGAGATTATATATTATTGTGTAATTAAATTGACCTAAAGCTATTTTGTGTGCGTGTGTGAGAAATTAATACTTTCTATAAAATTTATAAAGTGATATTTATTTTAAATTAATTTGTATTTTACAGGATGGGAACAGGAACAGGACCATGGCAATTTCTTAAGCGTCGAGCTCAATCATCAACATTAAACGACATATGATCATCGGATCTTGGGCATTATAAATTAAAATCGCATTGAACTTTGTTCCTATGAACTTTTCTCTCAATTTTCTATTATTTATAGGGTAAAGCTGTGTTTTATATATGCAGGTTGTGCCCGCTTTTATATGTTAATTAATTTCACTGATATGCACTAGAATAACTAAAATACTGGAGACTCAAATTTACTTGAGAATTCTCATCATTTCCCTTTATCTTGTTTGATATAAAATTAGCAGTTGTGATTCTCGTTTTTGTCATAAAATATTGTTATACTATGAAGAAGCGTTTCATGACCGATTTATATTAAATATTTCCATGTATGTTTTTCACTAATCACATTCACACATATTTGTTGTAAGATCATAGCAATCACTTTTTTTTTTTTGGAACTATAATACATGACTATAGTTTTATGAAAAGATCTCATGCTTTGCGAATAGCGTAATCGAGTTATTTATCTACAAAATTTTAGATAGTTTAAAATTTCAATTACATGATAATAGATATATTCTTTTAAGAATGGCTATTTCGGCCTGAGAAGTGTCGTTTTGCCAACGTCCTCTTCGCTATCAAAGAATATCATAGAAACCTATTGCTAAGGTTATTGAAAATAATTGTTGTTCGTAGTAAATATTATACAATTAGTAACATAGCGATCTTAAAGTATAAGTATTCTACTTTCATTGTAAATGATCTTAAAGTAAACTTGTCATGTAAGTCTTGGAGCTTTTCAGATTGGGATTGAGTTCTTTCGTCTTTGGTAATTGAGAGTTTTCAATTCTCTATTATTATTGTTGATTGGTTTAATATTCTTTGATTCGATTTAACATGAATTTGAGTCCAAGTTGGGATAATTCATCCACCTAGGGCTAGGAATTCTGATTCTTGTCTCGAATTATGTTGAATGTGTTTTGTTCAACTTGTGCACGTTGATTGAATAATAGAAGTAGCTGATTGATCACCGTCCAGTTCAGGGGTGGATTGTCGACCACAGCGTGCGTAGGGTACATTTGTTCGTAAAAGTATTATGTGTCAGTTGATTTAATGAGTTTGTCGTTTATGTATGTGTTCTTGTTACGAAAAGTTATTGAGCATAAACCCCTAAACGTGTAGGTTTGTTGAATCACGTAACCGAACAAATAAGCAGTCAACATAGGTTCGAGACCTTATGAGATTTCCCGAATCCTAGAACTTCTATTACTTCTCTAGTTATTTTAGTGTTATTTAATCGTTTTAGTAGTCTTTAGATAATGAAATCAAACCTCAATCTTGATTAAAATATGTAGGACTTATTTTCTTTCTGTGTGTAATCGACACCAATTTTAGATTCCAAACTGCCTTCTTCGATAGATCGACCCGAGGTCAGGATTCGTTACGTACTCGATAAAAATGTAATTTGTGTTGATGGAAGGATTCAATCAACGGTTAAAATAAAGAGTTATGGTAGTAAAAAGGTGAAGCGGGAAAGATGTACGATGAAAACGGAGTATATTACGGAGCCCTCATTCTAGCGTCAAACTGTTGATGTCTAAAATCGGACGATCAACCGTCGAAAGTGAATCGAACTTCTTGTATGAAAAGTGAAGAATAATATCATTAAAGTGGAAGCTTCCATTTCTTTCTTGGGAGAGTTTTTCTCTCTTTTGGAGTTGTTGGCGGAGAAGGATGAATACTAAATGAAAAAAAAAAGGTCCCTTTCTCTTTCCTCCCCCTCTCATATATATACCCCTCATTTTTTACAAGTGGTTGATTAAATAAATAAGAGATAATATATTATTCTTTAATGTGAGATAATCATCGTGGGAGCCCGCTTATGACTTTTGACGGTTTCGACTGATGTCTGTTTCCTCGGCAATCGTGGCGTCTACCGAAGGCGACTTCTTTATGATGTGTGTGCCATCCAATTACTTCAAGCTCTGTTCGGCTCGGCAGCAGGCGGACTCGTCGGCTGGGGACTCGGTCGGCTTTAAGGTGATCAGTCTTGAGAACTTATTTATATATTTATTTATCATGCATTTTTGGTTCATTGGTTATTGAGCCATTCTTTACTAAATCACTTATCATTTAATTAATCGAAGCCAAATTGGGTATCAACAATTTGCTATAACAATTTCGTAAAGGTACGATGTTTCACACGCCAACGGTGCTTTCATAAACACACCTTTTCACAACTTTTTCTCTCACCACTCTAATAACTGTCACCTTCGCATTTAAGCTTTGGAAGGACACGACCTTTATTCCCTTGATAAAGGGCCTTTACTTCTATCATTTTGACCATTAAAGATGCACGTTTTCTCAATAATATACATCGTATTGATGTCGGACATCTACTGCAAATGTCCAATTTGTCCACATGGCACATTGGCATGTACGAATGAACAGCTTCATGCGCCCAACCGTCATACGCCACTTCGTCCCAAAAATCAGGGGGCCTTGTTATGTACACTTTTTTCGATCTAAATTAACTCGTAAAACAATGCGTGTGTGGGCATCTAAGAACATCTTTGACCAACTGACTTGGAGATACACTGGCATTATGCAAAATTCTATTAAATCGACACTTCGTGGCAATCAAAGACACATTAGCTCCACGCGCATCCCCGAGTTACATCTGTCATCCATGTTCACAACCAAAAACCCGATGTCAACAATGATCACCCGAAGCTTTCTTCATGTCGAACCCATCACTAACACAACTTCCTTCATGCCGATATTGTCTTCCAGTGTGAACAAAAGTACTGCCCAAAACTGGGTCACACCACCCAGTATGAACGAGATTACAAACCATAAACGGAATACATGTCTCATCCGCAAAGAAGATGGACTGTCGCGCACCTTGCATGAAGCAGACCACATGTGTGCCCGCCACGTGTCCTATGACTCACAAAGGAGTCATGACAATTTTTTTTCTTTTTATAAACTGTAATAACATGTAAATGAAAAACCACGAGAAGAACATCAAAAAATATCATAAACTGTCAAAAGCATAATAAACACATTCGAGTTTATTCGAACAACCATTAATACCCCAACTAATGTTTTCTTGATCTGCCCTAATTATGCATTATATTTGTTATAATTTGTGTTGTTGATATCACACGTCAAACACATATATACAATAAATTTGATAATAGGGGCGGAGCCACCCAAAAGCTGAGGTAGGCTCCAGCCCAGTGTACTTTCAAAATTTAAAAAAATAAAAATAAAAAATAGATTCAAATTTAAGTAAAGCATCCCCGTAGAATTTTGGGCCTCGGCCCAATCTATTTCTAAAAAAATACACATTAAAAATTCCAATAAATAGACACAATTAGACCCAATTTGCAAAAACCAAAAAAATATAGACCCAATAAGACTCAATTTAAAATATAAAATAAAATAAAAGAAAACTTGTGGCTCACTCAGTCACTCTCTTGCCTTCAAACTCCTCCTGCCCGTTCTCGAAAAACACAAATAGGCACCACTGCCACCAATTCCGCACGGCGAGCACGACGCGGCATCATCTCGGTCCGGGTAGCTCAACCACCGGTTTTTTCTCGCACTCCAGATATCCATCTCTATTTTTATCTCCAATGTTCTCTTTGTACTTTGTTGTTCTTAATTCTTATTTTTTATTTTTTGTTATTACTGATTTTTCCCTAATTGACTAATATTGTGCCTAAATTTAGGTTTCTCTTCGTGTCTGGTGCCTCAATTTCAGCAGCGAGGAGCCCTTTCTCACCTCGTTGTCTTGTGTCCGACCCGCTCGTCCGACGTCCGCCCGAGCATCTTCCGGTGGTCTTCTCTTTCTCTCTTAGGGGAATAATTCAATTTTGGTCTGTTTAATTGTCTAAAGTTCATTTTTGGTACACTAACTTATTCTTTATCAAAAATAGTAAGTTATGTTGCAATTTGTATCATTTTTGGGAAGTTACTCATCAAAAACAGTACATTATGTTGCAATTTGTATCATTTTTTAAACATTAATTCCAAAAAATAATGAACCATTTTCAGGATAATGTCCTAATACTGATACAAATTGTAACATAACGTACTGTTATTGATGAGGGAAAAGTTAGTGTACCAAAAAAGGACTTTAGACAAATAAGCGGACCAAAATTGAATTTTTGCCATCTCTTAGGTTTGCCTATTTTTTCTTTTTTNAATTAATTAGGGCTTTACCTGAGATCAAAATTTATTTAGTTGCTTGATTAAAAATTGGAGAAGAAGAATATAATTAATTAGGGATTTACCTGGGATCAAAATTTGTTCAGTTGCTTGATTAGAAATTGGAGAAGAGGAAAAATTCAGTGAACAAGCATTTTTGAGAGAGTGGAATTTGAATTTTGGAAACATGCAAAATTCAGTGAATAAGCAAATTCCCGTCAAATTGCCTTCCTCGGTGACAATAAGACTCCTGCCAGTGGTCGTTTCTGACCGCTCGGCCCGCCCCTAGCTTCGCAAGTCTTCGATGTCCCTGCAGGTGTCGCGATTGGTGGCCTTTGTTTGTCGCCGGCGAGATTGCGTCGTGTGGTGGAGCTCCCTCTGTCTTAGACGGAAGGTCTCTCATTGGTCGCCGGCGGTCTTCGATTGGAGGAGGGAAGCTTCGATCTTCTTCTGGCTGGTATTTTGGAGGTCCTCCAGGTTGGCTTCACTGTTCACGGTGGGGCTTCCGGTGGTTTGGGCTCTGGTCGGCAGCGGTTTGCAGTGGCGTTGGGGGGAGCGTGGGCCGGGGGTCGGGGCAGGACTTCGGATGCTGTGGCGGTCCTGTTGTGGCGACCGGGGTTGAGGGAATGAGCCATCCTCACCCTCCCCTGTTGGTTAGTGGTGGTTAATGGTGTTAGGTGGCGGGGGACCTGGTTTTTTCGAGCTTGTCTAATGGTGTTAGACGGGTTCGAGCCGGGTTGGTGACGGGTCGATTCTGAGATTGGTTCGGGCTCGGAGTTGGCTATTGTATAGGCGGTTGCGCAGTTTCGGTAGTGGTTCTTCGGGCTAATAATCTCCCTTGTGTCGATTGTTCACTGTTGGTTGGGTCGGTTCGATTGTTGGGGAAGGGCTTCGCGTGTTTTTGTTTTTGTAGTACTTGTTTTGTGTTGTTTGTGGTGTTTTTGTGTTAGTTAATGTGTTTTAGGTTTGGGCCGTTGGCTTCTGTGAGCTCGAGTGTCACTTTATTATCCTGTTGGGAACCGACACTCGGGTATTACCCTATTGGGGTCTTTTTAGTTTCCTAGTGCTTTTGTGTGTTAGTTTATTCGTGAGTTTTTCATTCTAGCGTTTGCTAGACGGTTCTAGGCGATCTTCGGATCTGCCTCCCAGTTTTATAGCCTCTGGTTGTACTATTCAGCTTTTGGTTGTTTTTTTTTCGCATTTTATGCAGTTTTATTAATATAGTACCTCTATCGTTTCGGGAAAAAATAAAATAAAATAACATTAAAAAAAAAAGTGAACAAGCACAAACAATTGTGAAAGATTTTATTTTTATTTTTTTTTCCTTTTTGCTTTTCGATAAATAGATAGTTGACTTGAGGGGATTTTATTATTAATTTTATTTTATAAGGGATGTTTCATTCTCTCTAAAATGTGTACCTATAGAGTAAGAAATGAATTTTAAATACTCTTAAGTTTGAACATGAAAATGTGAAAAATAACATTTTATTGTAAAGTCTACATTTAAAATATTTTACTGATATTATTCGTTGTTGGTTCATGTTTTTGGGTTGATTTTTCAAATGGATGTCCTCGTAGAAAAGAAGAAAACTATGCTCTTATTTTTTAAGCCCAAGTTGGCTACGAATGATTCTTCTCACTCTAATGCGAAAACTTCAACCCAAAATGAGTTTGAACACCAACATATGGCTAAGTATCAATGGGTGGATATTGATGTGAGCAATTACGTTTTTTCTAGATCCGACTACATATATTCCAATATGGCAATGTCCTATAAATGAACGAGACACAATTAGGCGATCCTATATCTTGAGGGGACCATATCAACCTATTATGGAGTTTCTGCGAACGAAATTCGGAGATCAATCTCGGCGCTTTCAACCAAGTTGGTATGAGCAATTTTCGTGCTCTTCAGAAAGATGCGGCATTTTGTTTCCCATGTTTCATTTTTCAAGAATAAAGAAGCTCATCATCCTGCATTTACATTGATGGATTTAAAGGTTGAAAAAGAGTTAATGATGGCAAAAGATGTCCCCTTTTTATTCATGTGGGAAGTCCTTCGTCATCACATAATAATATCGTGCAATCTATGAGCCTTTTGATGAATGCCAACGGTCACATCGATAAATTGATGAATGCACAAACATCAAGGCGTGAAAAAAAAAATTCGTTTGAGAGTTAGTGGATTCTATGATTGTCTACACAAAAGAGAATTTACTTCAAAAATCGACACAGATTCAATAATCGACGAGTTTATAGTATGAAGAACCAGAGGACGTCATCTTAAATCGATACTATATTGTTTATTTACCTTTTCCAATAGTTATAATGAATAAAAAGTATTTTATATTTATTTGTTAATTAAAATTTATTTTCTATTTTTTCTTTAGAAATTTTAACAAATAATTTAAATTGATCAGTCTAAGTTTTTTTGTTTTGTCCGATTATTCAAAAAGCAACGCGTGGAGCAATAATTTAAGTGGCGATAATGAAATTCCCTGCGTGTATCGCCAGGAAACATTGTAGACAAAGTTGAAATAGAACCGAAGCAGTTGACGTTGATATCCGTGAAATCGGACACACACACTAATAAATAAGTGGGCTCCACAAATTGCCATCAACCAAACCAAAGACAATGCATCAGTTCACCAAACATTGAGGACCCCCACCACACCACCACCTACTTTACCAAAGTTCATTTGGATTTTTCCAACTCGACAAAGTCGGTGACACCCCACCAATTTGTGTCCCTCTCTCTCTCCATTGTCTAGTTTCCACTGTCCATTCACGTCTTCTTTTTAACATAACTATTGACTTTCCGTGAAACCTCTAATGATTATTATCCTTCCAAACCAAATCATCATTTTCGTTTGTTCTGAAGCTAAAAGATTCTAAACTGGAACTGAGATCTAACTAATCTGATTACTAAATAGACCAAACCCTAAAAACATACTACGAAGTCCCAAATTCAAACCAAGCTCATCATAAAAATATGTCACCGGGCATCAAGAAACCAAGATAACCAACACAGGAATTAATGCCTGGATCATACAAAAAGGATAAGAATAATGAACTACTTAGAATTATAAAGAGTACAAAAGAACATATTGCCCAGGCTGGGCTCGGTTTCTCTTCGGTACAGCCCAGATTTTGATTAACGAAAAATTGAAAAACTCATGTTGTAATAATCAATAAATGATTAAATTTGATTACATTTTCTTGAAAAAATTAATAATAATAATAATAACAATAACATTTTCTTTAAAATTCATCATTGTATCCCATAAAACTGGCCAACTCCAAGATTGCCACCAAACCCTTTTCCAGCAGCAAAAGGAAAGGGTCTGTTTGGCTAGACTACGAGCTGATCGAGCCTCATCTGCTCAAGCCAGGCTCCCAAAACAGAGTCAGTCTGAGAGTTAGTAGTATGATTATTCAAACACTCACCGGATGCTGGCTGCTTGTCCTTGTCCATCTCAGGTGGTGATTCTTTCACAAGGGACTGCACCCAAGAAAGGTCTGGTTCTCCTCCTTCCACCCCATCATCATTCTTCTTCATCTCAAACGATGACCACTCAGCTTTCCCATTATTATTATTGGGAGACAGCCAAGCAGCAGTAACAGGGCCGTGGTGGTGGGACCCAAGCTCCCGAGAGCTGAGACTACGGCGCTCCCTCTGGGCAATGGCTGAGAGAAGTGAACTCTGATCCACGCTTCTTGGGGACGAAAAAGGACCCTGCAACAAAGGGTTCTCCAAATTTCTAGGAGAAAAGACCAAATTAGCATTAATATTCTGCTTCTGCTGCTGCTGCTGAAACTGATTGAAAACAGCCGACTTGTGTGAAGGAGAGAAAGCACCAAAACCCGCCGCATCGCAAAATCTAGGCGATGATGAGCCCATCTCCGCCGAAAAAAACTCCTCAAGATTGGATGGAGTTAGTGCCGCTGCCTTGGGACGGTTAATGCCGGAATTCTGAAAACGCGCCAGGTCATTCATGACCAGCTGTTGTGTCTCGTAATCGTGCAACAGGTTCAGATCCTCGGGCGGTATGTCCCGAGCGCTGAGCGACGACCTCAGCCGGCTCGACTGGAGATTGCTGCCCGGTAGATGAAGAGTGGGAACGTTCGGCAGAGGCCAAGCCGGTGAAGGATGAGACATACCATTAGGAGACATCACAGACTGTGAAGTCGGGGAACCAGGGAATATACTCAGAGCCGAGGCCATGTCCATAAAACTCGGGGTCGAGGCCGAAGATCTCGGGGATGGGACACCGGAACCAGTAGACACGTACAAGGGACGGAGCTCTTCCTGCGTGTGCGCGAAAAAGCAAACCTGTCGAGCACAGCTAGTGCCGTCCTTGCAGAGGCGGGTTCGGTACTGGGCCGGGTGGAGCCAGCACTCGAACACGCCGTGTGCGTACTCGCACATATCCCCGCGCCTGCAGGCGCCCTTCCGGAAGTCGGGGCACGGGACGCAGCTGTAGTGGAATTTCCGTGGGTCCCGCCGGCGGGCGTTCTCGCCAGGGTGGACAAAGGGGCACTCGGTCCAGTCGTGGGAGTAGGCTCTCGAGCAAGGCCGGACTTTGAACGAGAACATCCGGAACTCGTCGGTCGAGTAGATGCTGTTCCGGATGTCGGGAAGAGAGGGGTCGACTGGATACTGTTTCTTTTCCGAGATGGTGGTGTTCGTGGCGGGAAGCTGCTTTGGTGAGTAGGACGGAGAAAATGGGGAACGGCTTTCGGAGGACGATGATAGCACGGGTGAAGACGCGTTTGAGGTAGATATGGAGACCCGTAGATTGCAATCCGCGACAGGCCCATCAAAACTATTGTTCACGAGCAAGTCTTCAATGGCGGCCTTCCCGCCAGGAAGCTTCGGAGGGACTACGATTACATCAGCCGGGCGTCGGCCAGTCGAGTCCATAACGTTGGGGTCGGCACCAGCAGATAACAGAAGCTTAATTACGTGATATGCGTTGACAGAACACCCAAAGGCAGCACAGTGGAGAGCAGTCCACTTGTCACGGCCACACAGCCTGTTGAGATCGACTTCAGGAAGAGCAACTAGCAGCTTCAGCACATCGAGGCTTCCATAGGTTGCAGCTACCATCAGCGGAGTTCGTTCTTCTGAAGTGATATGCTTTGAACCCATCTTGCGGACGTACCAAGGTCCAGGCTCATCGACACAGGACAGGTCGAGCTCGATGGATCTCTTGAAAGCTTCGACATCATTGTTGGCAGCATATTCAAGCAAGTTGCAAAATGAATTGCCCGTCTCTTCGGATATCTTGGTGAAGCCCATGTTATTTTATGCTTTGTCAGAAGGTTTCTCAGTTGTGGAAGAAGTTAGATTTGACGGCTCCGGCCCACTGCACATACTCTAGTCAACTGCAAGTCAGTATAAATTTGTCATGCGAAACAATTTTGGTGGATGTATCCCCTAAAAGAATAACACGGAGGAATTATGATAAACTAATGATAAGAAAATTAAAAGGACCAGGAAGGGTATTTTTATTGAAATTGTTTATACACAACGATAATTCATCTGGGAAGCTTAAATTTTTAACTCATATTTAACTCAATTACAGAACAAATTGCAAAATAACCAAGAAGTCAATTGATTATGAATAGTCAATAGTGACAGATCTATGATCAGCTACTAATTCTAAAGCTCTACAGTCAAAGACACAGTAAAAAATGTATGGTAAAGGCAAAAATAATAAAGGACAAGCACACTGTCATACCTAAGATCACCGTGAAAGAACAGGCAACCAAGTTTATGCAACACACAGCATATGCAGGATGTGTATTACAACCCTCACATCAGACTAAGATACAGAACAAAGTAAACTTCTTCATATATGTTATCGAAAGCTACTCCCTTTAGAAAGAAGATCCAAAAATTGTCATTTCAGAAACAGAGAAAAGAAAAGCCATCAGATGCAACCAATTAAGCATGACGTCCACATCAAGTAACGAAGAACTAATTACCCAAGGACAAAATTTATAATTTCCTAGGGACAAAATTTAAGTAGTCAAAAATAGCACCTAACTTTACACTCCATATATATATTTTTTTTAAAAAGCGAATAATTCTATCGTGCTCAATAATACCCTATGAGACAAGAATCTTAAGGCACAAAAGGCATATATTCAACATATTTTCACAACTTTGGCTACTCACGATGGACAAAAAAACCTGCTGTATACGAACCACACATAGCAGTGCAACATCATAATCGAGTTCAGCAGACAGGAAAAACATTTGTAATACTCACAAAACAGTAATCAAATCAAATAAGAAATGCACAGCATACAGAAAAACAGATCAGTTCGAACTGAAGTCAACGACTGCACAAATCAAGTAATTGAAGTGGGAAATCGAGCAAATAAAACTTAAGGAACTCACCAGAGATCCAAAACCGAACTTCCTCCCAAGATCTGCAAAGCGGATCATATTACTTGCTCATTAATCAATTAAAGAACAACAAAAATATAAAAACTAACGAAATTTGAAACAGAAAAGGCGATCTTCATAGCAAAAGATAAAAAAAAAGTTGCGAAGAGAGAGACCGAGGAGAAAGCAAAATGACCTTACGGTAGATACATAAATAGAAGAGTGCGTGTATAGGTGGGAGGAGAGAGGAAAAATCGAGAGAAAGCGAAATGAAAGGAAGCTTGTTTTGTTCTGTGTTTTTTAGTGAGATAAAAGTGCATTAGGTGGTGTACCCTAGAGAGAGAGAGTGTGGAGTCCGAACAGCGGTTTTGAAATTGAAATGGCGACAGTAGAATTGAAATGGACATGAAACTGAAATGTAAATGTAAATGTAAATGAAATAACGTTGAAATTCACAAGAAATGCATATGGAATGCGACTATGCGAGTCAAGTTAGGACCGGGGCCCATGGGAAAGGAAAAGGGCTATTGAACGGTGTTGCTTTGTGGTTGGATCGGGTTGGGTTAAGTTCGGTTTAATAACTAGTGCTTTTTTGATTNCATCTGTGAATTTGCACGGATGTAAATAAAGTATTATAAGTTATTTATATATATATAATATTAAAATTATAAATTAGATAATGGTATTAAATTTTAAACATAAAGTATTATAAGTTATATTTACCCATATAATATCAAAATTATAAGTTATATAATGGTATTTTTTTTTTAAATTTGACAATTGATTAAAATAAATAGTACGTAACTATTTGATTCATATGAATTGATTACATAAAATATAATAAATAATGCAATATTTGTAATTTTGAGAGATTATGTCCAATTAATTTGCTGAAAATGTTAAATTTATTATAACAATTGCTTATGTGATTTTAAGGGATTTTTTTTTTCCGAAACGATAGATATGATATTATAACCAAAAAGCAAAAATGTGCAAAAGCAGCCCATAGCTGAATAAGATAGCTACCAACTAAAAACTGAGATGACAGGTTAGCAGACCGCCTAGAACCTCAACTAGCCAAGCTAAAATAAAAACTGACTCAAAACACTATAGACAACTAAACAAACTAAGATCGCTCCCCACAGGAGAATAGGATCGGCCCCCACGGGGTAATCAACACAGGGGCCAACGGTCCAGACCAAAAAAACAAAACATAAAACACTCAGGCGAAGAGCCCAGACCAAAAACACTTCACTAAAACAGACTCAAGCAACAACAATCAACAACAATAAAAACAAACAGGCCCTTCCCCAGCAATCGAAAGAGCTCGACCAGCAGCGAAACGATCGACACAAAAAGGTTCCAGATCCGAGCAGCGGCTACCGAAACTGCGAATTGCCTATACAGTAGAACCAACCGAATCCCAAACCAATCCAGAGTCGACCCGTCCCCAACCAAGAGAGAGACAGCCGGCATTCACACCAGACCCACCCGAACTCGTCAAACACCACTAGTCGAGCTCGGGAGAACCATACCCCTTGCCGCCTAACACCACTAGACGCACAAAGGATGGTGAGAATGACACGCCCCCTCAACTCCAACCGCTGCCACAAGCAGTCGCAGCACCGGAGTCCCAACCCACCCTTCAGAGCACGCACCGCCTCGGACCACCACGAAACTCCAGCGACCAGAAGCCAAACCCAACCAGAACGGCTAGGCTTCGCCGGAAAAACGCAGCCCAACGACCACAGACAAGGAGAGATGAGGGGTTTACCTCCCAAGTACAGCTCCCACCGGCAATAGATGAGAGAACTCAATTCGCCGGCCAGAAACCGACCAGGAGGATCGCCACTACCAACTTTAGCCCCGTTTGCAACCATATGAGCGGACCCCCGACCGCCGAGTTTCCTTGGCCAGAGCAAGGCACGCGACATCAGGATAAGACCAGGTGGAGAAGAACGACCGCGGGTCTTGACATCTTCGTTACCGAGGAAGGCGGATCGAACGAGATTGAAGGAAGGAACGAGATTGAACGGATTTGGGGGAGGGTTTTCAGATCGCCAATTTGGGGGCCCCTGATTTTAAGGGATTTCACTATTATATTAAAATAAATTAGTTTATTTAAAAAATAATGCTTAATTAGATAAAAAATAATATTAATTTTAGAATAAATAACTTGAACAAAAAATTTTACAACATTATTTTTTATGTTTATGTAACTTTCATATATCATTTAGTATATAATATAATTATTAATTCTAATAATAACTACTATATGATATAATAAAAAGAATATAATTATTACTCAATTAATATAAAATATAATAATTTTTGTCTTAATTAACAGAATCATTTTTTGGAAAGTTAAGTGCCACCTAGGTATAGGTATAATTTATGAGGTAAATTTTATGAGGTCTTATTTAATAGATTGCTAGCAATTAGAGCATCTCCAATGCTATGGTGTTGAAAGGCAATAATTTTTAATACATGTCAATTGATGATTGTAATGTTAATCCACATAAGAATAATGTTAAAAGACTAAAAATTTGAATCAAACTAGTATCTCCAATGCACCAATTTGATAAGAATTTATTTGTATAGGTGGACCAATTATAATAATTCATTAATACAAGAATAATAAAAAATTAAACCAAATATAAAGTGAATTAATGAGTCATCATGTTTAACATGGTGTTAGATATTAGAAAGTGAGTTCAACATTGTTAACATTAAATGCCATCCACATCATCATGAAAGAGCTAATGACAAGATGCATTGGAGAATAAATTAGTAATAAACTTTCAAAAGTTGATGATATGGATAATTTTTTGCAATGTCAAAAGTCACATTGGAGATGCTCTTATATATATATATATATATACTAGTAATCAACATGTGCATTTGCAAAGAGAATAATACTTTAAAAAGATAACAATATAAAAAAAATAAAAATAAATCATAATTTAATTCATGAAAAATAAAATATGAATTAATAAAATAATTCTCAATATTGATTTTGATCAAGTAATTGCTATGGAAGAGTTGTTACAACCATTTCTCTATACTAATACACCCTGTCATTTTCATCAGTGGGTGTGACTTAAAATTTGAGTACAATTTTGTAACTCCCTTGATTGGTCTATGTTCAGAATTTATGTCATTCAAGCAAGTTATTTTGTAACTTAAAAATGAAATTGAATGCTGAAAATTTTGGAGAGAAAATAAAATTTAATGCATGATAATTGAATTAAATGATGTGATGCTCCAAATTTTTTATATATATATATATAGGGATTGGTTCCAATGCATCCGCTTATTTAAAGTGAGGACGTGAGATTCATTCATAGCCACAAGATTTAGATCTTGATTTAAATAATAATTCTTTATTTTTATTATTTAATTTTTTATTTTTAAATATTTAAATATTATTGTGACCATTGATCGTTGACTCCGCGGTTGACTGTTGACTTCCGACGAGAATCATTGACTTCTGGCGTTGACCCGTTGACCTTAGTATGCATCATGTATGAAAGAAACTGTGCATTTAGCTAACACTGCAACTAAAGACAACTAACCTTGCAACTATAGACAACTAACCTTGGACATTAAATACAACTAAACATTGCAAATAAAAATAACTAACCCTGCAACAAAATAGAACTAACCTTGCAACTAGAGAAAATTAACTTTGCAACTAGACAGAACTAACCTTGCAACTAAAGACAACTAACCTTGCAATTACAGACAACTAACCTTGCAACTAAAGACAACTAACCTTGCAACTACAGACAACTAACCTTGTAAACTGAATACAACTAAACATTGCAAATAAAAACTAATCTTGTAAGAAGATAGAACTAACTTTTTAACTATGGACAACTAACCTTGCAACTAGAGAAAACTAA